TATATGAAGTAAGTTTGTTGATAACAAATGAAGTTTACACACAAATCTAGATATTAAATAAACCTGCAAGTTCTAACCAGGTACAATGCGACACGCTTGGTGTTACACACAATGAAATCTCATCGGGCAAAATTCCTGCTCCACTTAGCTGTGTATTAATCAATAAATGTGTTCTGATAGGCTGTAATTTAGTCACTTTGCAAAGCATTTTACTGTTAGAAAGAACAGAAAATAATCGATCTGATATTTGAAACTTGCCTCATAAGTAGCAGACATATTTTCAAAATTGACTATTCTGAATGGGTTAAGGAAGCCCTGTATATTAGGCTTGTTCTGGGTTCTCTCGACCCTGAGAGTAATTGTTTCTCTAAGGGGGAATTTACAATTAGGCTTTTGTGTTTATAAACAGGGGTCTTTTTTTAAATGTTGTACTGCTTTTTATGGCTGATGTTACTTTAAAGGCACATTTAAATACAAAACTTTTCCGACAGGGCTTTTCCGACACTGTCATCATGTTAATTAGAGCACCACTGCTAAAATATTCAAACAAAACCAAATTAGCAAACGATAAACTAGCCAGCCTCACTAATAATATAGTTTGCAGTTGGATGACCAGTAAATTAATCAACCGTTGTGACCCATTCCTTCCTATCATGTCTGATTAGGACACAGTGTTATTGTGATGAACATTTAAATCGAGCAGAACACAGAACAGTGTTATCAGTGTGTGTGTGTGTGTGTGTGTGTGTGTGTGAGAGAGTGTGTGAATGTGTGTATGAAGGAGAGGTATGGGTGTGTAACATACTAACGTTCTCCACTTTGAACCACATTCACAAAGAAACCCTCTGTTCTCTCCATCCCCCTATAAGTGTGTGTGTGTGTGTGTGTAACATTCAGGTCCCCTCCAGCATGCAGGCAGGAGTCTAAAGGTGTTTGCATACAGAAGAGTGTGCTTTAGCTTTGTTGTGTGTATAGTTGCTTCTGGGGAGCTCAGTTTTACAAAAGAAAACAGATCAGTATTAACACACATACTAACACACCCCTGTACACACACGCACAATGCTCCAGGACTGGGTGCCACACCTTGGTAAATATGTATGAAATACAAAAGCACACCCAAGAGCTTCAAACACCGTTTACCGTCACCATACAAGCATGTGACCCCTATCTGCACAAATAATGTCCTCTCTTGTTGAAAAACAGTTTGACATATCTGACAGTTTGACGTGTTCTGTCCACAGATTGCACGACAACAGCAGCAACTTCTGCAGCAACAACACAAAATCAACCTCCTGCAGCAACAGATCCAGGTGAGTCTTCATATAGATGTGTATGTCCACTTGTAGACTTGTATACATGTTTTGCGTTTATGCTTTTAAAGAGGTATGTTTGTGAGATGTCACAATGCGAGTGACTTGTCACCGTGACCGTGGGGTTTCATGACAATCAAACGTTGTTGTCCACCAATCAGCAATCAACCCCCCTCAACCAATCATTAACGAGCATCAGTGCTGGTATCCAGAGTCCATACTCGTAGTCCTTTTGTAGAACAATCAAAATGTAGCTACAGAAACAAAGACAAAGCAACATTATGATGGAATACTATACTTCAAATTTTAAGGCAATCCGTAATGTATTATGACATCCTCAGTAGAAAAAAATCATTCAAGATAAATGACAGATTCAAGAAACTTTGATTAAAATATAAACACATCTTAAGCAAAAAGTTTCAATAATATAAAAAAATAAATAATAAAAAAGTCTAATTAAGAATAGCCTTATGAGATTAAATTTCGGTTAATATGCGGCCTAAAAAGATAGCTGCCTATAGACAGGCAGCTTAATACGTTTTTTAAAATAGTGTGTATTTAGACATAGCAATCATGCAAACTATGATTTAAATTAATCTTTAAAAAAATGTGTAGGGAAATGCCCTAATGGCTGGTAAAGGAGCTTGTAGAAAACTAAAAACAGACACATACATAGGGCAGAGAGACACTGGCCTGCTTTGTGTGTGCAGGTGTGAAGCGAATAAAGGCTTTGTGTGCAAGAGGAGATGAGATGAGTCTAATTTGGTTGATAAAATGAGACTTAGCCTTGAGAGGGACTCTGGCAGTTTTGGCTAGGAAGCCACATCACACTGAGACTATTCACACACACACACACACACAGATCACTCCCGTCCGCTGGACCCCTGCCATTCTCTTTTAGTGCCTGACTGTGTGTGTGTGTGTGTGTGTGTGTGTGTGTGTGTGTGTGTGGCCCCGCTTTTTTTG